ACCAATACAACTGCTGAAGAACACTGAAGCAGAAACTTCTTCAGGGTAAGTTTAATACGCAGTTAGTTTTATCTGCATCTTCCCCTCCCCTATGGGCAGGAACTGAGATGCAAAAGAAGGGTGAAAGGGGACAGTGAGGAAGCTTTTCAGAAATACAGATGTAAACCATGTCTGTAAACCATCTGAAAGTCACTTTATTATTTTTTTGGTCTTGTTATGTAGCCAGGCTGGCCTTGAACTTTCAAGCCTCCTGCCTCAGCCTTTGGGGTCCCGCGATGGGATTACAGACATGTACTACCTACCGTGCCTGACTGGAAAAAATCTTAGAAAAGAGGCATTTAAGCAAGGTACCAGTGGTTTAAATGTCTTTTTATTAAGAAATCCAGTGGATTACAGTTTGAAGCCAGCAGGGGCAGAAAAGTCCAAAAGATTTTGTCTCCAAAGAAACCAACAAAAAGCAGGCCTAGAGGTATGGCTCCAACGGTAGAGTACCAGCTAAATAAGCATCAAGCAAGCCAAGCAAGCAAGCTAAGTGAGCAGTAGGCCCCGAGTTCAAACCCCAGTATCAGGAAAAAGGAAAATTAAATAAAGAAATATTTAAGACAGAAAGGAGCACTTAAAGAGTCAAATTGGATTCTTACTCTCTTTTAAACACCGTAGTTTTCAGACAGAGAATATTTTAAAATGACACACTGGAGCCACCTGTCTAGAAATGAGGTGTAAGAAAAGAAGACATAATAGGAGAAAGGCTGTTTTAAAATTGAAATATAACTCTTTCTGTTGACATAGTTGCTGGGCCCAGAGTAAGGGGTCTAGCAGTGTCCTGGGGTGACAATCCTATGAATCTGTGCTCCCTCAGGGGTGTGCCCTGTTCACGTATAAAAGAAAGGTATCCTGTGGCACTACATGTAGCCTCAAATCACTTACAGTAACCAAAGGGGAGGCACAGACCCACATTCCATCATCAGCCTCAGCTTTTTCTCTACCATGTCTCCAGAGTTGGGCCCCTGACAATGGCCATACCCTAAGTAGCTTCCTCAAGTATAAAGGGCTTTTCACACTTCATCACATAAGGATACACACACACACACACACACACACACACACACGTGCGCGCACTAAGTTTAGAGTCATTTTCTTCTACTCTCTTACTGATTTCTGAAAGATCTTCATGCATGTCCAGGAGCAGTTAAAAAAAAACTGCAACAGAAATGAGATCACTATCTTTAGACTACAGCAACTGAGTCCAAAACAATGATCTACAGATAGTCCCCCAAAGTGCAGATGGTTTGTAATTACTATAAAGTGACACTGGAAACAATTTTGTGTTTCTGTGATTCTAAGTTCCTATTAGCTTTTACTTCTTAAATACAAGCTTAACAATATTAATGGATTAAAAGAAAAACAACTTTCAAGACAAGATGATGTACTAAGCAACATAATATCTTGCCCTATTCACAGTGAAGCTATTTTAGCGTGCAATAAAGAATTTCTTGTGGGTATTTTAAATCCTAACAATGTAACTGTTATCTAGTAGAAAAAAACCCACTGCTCTAGCCATAATATTTCAAAAAAAGAGGGGGGGGGGTGACCCTTGGGGCTTGTGATACTGAAGTTTCTATAAGGCCATTCCATTTCAATTTAAAAAGGGCTTATGTAAGTTTATTTGGAAATAGATATATTTTACTTAGACACAAATGAGTAAAAACATGAAGATCCTCATATGGCCATCCCTTTTTTTGAGAACCCATACGTGTATACTTAGCAACTTGAACTGAAAGGTCATTTTTGGTTGCTTTGCCCGCTGAAGATAATTTGCTAGGTACTATAAATTATTTTGCATCTTAGTTATGGACTTGTTCATCTAGCCGGTGGTGAGAAAAGATCTACAAAATGTAGTTATAAACACAAAGGAAAAAATGTTCCAGATAAAATATATTACAGGGCTTATGGTGACACAACTGTTTGTCTCTTTTTCTCTTAGTTTTACTTTATTACTTTTAAGTAGTCATACAAAAAGGTTTCAATTCACCACGTCAGTTTATGATTACAATGCATTTTGACCAATGTCATTCTACCTTTTATTCTTTGCACCATACGAGCTGATCTGGCCCAGTCTGCACACACTGAGGAGTATTTAGTCTTTGCTACAGGGAAGTGAAGGAAGTACAGAGGGCCTGTTTGGTGTTTCCTAGTTAGCACAGAGGAGCATGGACTTCGTGAAAGCTTGCTTCAATGGACTGGAATTCTGAGCTCAGTTCTATTCACAGCACTCCCAAAAAAGTACCAACTATCATCAATTAAAGCAAGATAAGTTTTCTATAAAAAACAAAAAGCAGCCTGGTGCTGGTGGTTCACACTAGTCATCCTAGCTACTCAAGAAGCTGAGTTCTGAGGATCATGGTTCAAAGCCAGCTTGAGCAGAAAAGTCCCTGTCGGATTCTTATCTCCCATTAATCACTCAAAAACTGGAAGTGGTGTTGTGGCTCAAGGGGTAGAGCACTAGCCTTGAGTACAAAGAGGCTTAGGGACAGTGCCCAGACCCTGGGTTCAAGCTCCACGACTGGGAATAAAAACAACACAAAACCCCATCAAAGCCCTCTGGTTCACATTTCATATCTATGCTCATAGTACCTAGGGCCTGAATTAAAAAATTAGATTCCTTAAGCCATGGCTTGCTCTTTCAATGGTTTGGTTTGCTGGATATACATTTTAAAAGTTCATTCTAGCTTGCAGAGGTTCAGCTGAAGTCAGATCAAGCAATGTCTAAGAAAGGAAAAGCAGCCTGATGCTGGTGGCTCACCTCTGTAATCCTAGCTATGCAAAGAGAATCTAGAATCCTGGTTCAAAGTCAGCATGACAGACAAATCCATGAGACTCTTATCTCCAATTAACCGGTAAAATGCCAAGTGAGGGCAAGAGGCTATGAGTTCAAGTCCCAACACTAGCACAAAAAAAAGAAAGAAATGGAAAGAACCCAACAGATGTATTAGCTATATAAAAACTGTTATAGGCAAAATAATAATAGTGACAGAAAAAACATCATTTTTATTTAGTCAGCTGTATATATTTTTTTCCAGTTGGATCATATTAGCAGGAAAGGTCTAGATCTTTACCGTATAGGGCGTGAGTTGAGTAATGCCATCCTCAGCCTGGGGATGCCTTCAAGATGGACAAACTATCAGCATGCTATGCCTCATGGAGCAAGATCCATGGAGAACATGGGAGTCTGCTCAATCAGGCAGGATTGCCTGGGCAAATTCTGTAATCCTTCACCTCTGGCCTACCCTGTCCTCATACAAACCCAGGAGGCCAGGGGTCATCAGTTAAACCTCCCCAAACCTTACAAGTTCCTCATTTTTTTCTTTTTTCTTTTGTGGTATAGCTACAAAAAATTGGCATATCCTTATTTATAAGCTGGCAGAAAAAACTCATACTCATTAGAGAATCGAATATGTGAAAGTTCACTTCAAGCATCATACTCAGACTTTTTGGGGGCCCTCAAATAAACTGGCATTGTTTAATACTTCACACTTCCTTTATAGCAGATTTCACTCCTTTTACAGAAGCTCTGCCTGTTTTAATTAAAGTGAAAAAAAATTTTAAATTTAGGCAAACACATACAACCTCATAGTAAAGCAGGAATGCACTCACAGAGGAAAAGTATTAGAAATTCCCAAGCTATTTTTAAGTGGTAATTAACCACTTGATCTTTGAGGGTCTGAGATAATTAGGAGGAAGTTGGAATTTAATGGAGTGGGATCCACAATTTATCAATATGTTTCTATAGTAAATCTCTTTGAATATCATTTTAATTTCCTACCTTACACAAAACTCCCACATAAACAAAAAAGAAAAGGTCACTTTTTCTGGCTAAAAGTAGGGCTCACATCAGGGGGTCGATGGCTTTTTCTAGTTTCCACTAAAAGCATTGAGCACATTTCAGAGTGCTTCAGAAGTAAGCTAACAAAAGGTCAATTCCTCATTTTCATATCTTCTAAAGATTCTAAATGAATCATTTTCCCATTAGGTCCAGGAAGGTATCTTTTGTGGAATTTGCTCCAAATTTGTCAGTGAAAATGTGATATAATAACAAACAATTCACCAAAACCTGCTATGTCAAAATTCAGAGTAGAACTTTTAGTTTTGGTAAAGGACTGTAGCTCACATTATATTGCTATTTCTAGACACTTCCAAAGTGACAGAAAAGAGCATAAAATGTACATTCCAGTGTATGATCTTGAAAATGGAACACACAAAAAAAACATTCTTTGTAGTTCTTAGTTATTTGAATAGTCTGTCTAAAACCCCATCCATGAAAGAGAGGAAGAAAGAAGGAAGGGAAGCTGGGAAGGGGAAGAGGAAAGGGAAATAGAATAGAAGGGAAAGGGAAGGGGAATAAAAGAAGGAAGATAAGACAGACAATGTCAGCTCCCTCTTTATACTATGCTAGAATTCATCACCCCTCACCGTTTTCGTTAAGTTTGGGTATGAAATGGCGGGAAGAGAGTCAGATTTCCTGTATAGATGAGTTACTTGCTGAAGAAAAATGAATCACTACACACTTGAGTGAGAAAATATGAAGAAAGCACTTTTGCACTAATTAGGCCCCATTTTAAGCAATTTGTTAAGCTGTGGCCTGGTGCCATAAGCCATCAGGAGGTGGAGCATGGGGCCACCCCAGAAAACAGAATGTGCAAATGGAACCTAATGAAGCTCTCCATCAACCCAAGACAGTGAGCTGATACAGGCAGGGAGGTATCAGGGAGATACTTGGTGTATAGGCTGCCGGCCACAGAAACACCAGCAGGAAAGAAGAAAAGACACACTGGCTATTTCAATCCATGCTAGAAACCAAATCATGTGGCACTCACCAACAAATTCGGGCCTTCTGGAGGCCATACAAAAGCTGCCTCTTCCACACAAATCCAGGCTTTGAGACCCACACTGCTCCAGCTCTGAGTCCCCTATGACTAGCTGCCTGGGAGGGGCTCTGGTACCTGGTGGTGAGGCCTCAGGTCCCTTCTCCTCTTCCTCAAAGGTCCAGCCACTGCCTTCACAGGCCCCTGGGGTGCAGAGAAAGGTGGGAACAGATATGCAAAAAAGGAGGGAAGTTGGTCTTTTTTTCTCTCAGGAGAACACACACAGGAAGGGAGCTCGAGCTTCCTGTCTTAACCAAAATGAGTTCAGAAATTATTCGGATGTCTGATTTGTCAGGTTTGTGATGGAAAGGGGTGATCTTTTTAGTCAACAGGAATTATGAGTTCCCCAAAGGCAGAGAATCCACAGGGGAAAAGACACAGGGCTAGGCCTGTAAAGACCAGTGGGCTCCACAACTTGGTATTAAGGAGAGGGGTTCTGTCTGCTTTTTAACACAAGACACTTCTGGCATGTACCACTTTATCACAGACAAACAACAGGAGAACAACTCAGTGGAAATAATTTGCCAGCTGTGGGTAGACTGGTCTCAGTTGCTTTCCTTCTGAGCCCTTCTCAGAAGTAACCACCAAGCCAGGTGCTGGTGGCTCAAGAGGTTGAGATCTGAGGATTGTGGCTCATAGACAGCTTGGACAGGAAGGTCCATAAAACTCTTAGCTCCAGTTAAGTCCCAAAAAAGCAAGAAGTGGAGCTGTGGCTCACATGGTAGAGAACTTGCCTTAAGAAAGAAAAAGAAAAAAAAAAAAAAGAAAAAAGCTGAGAGACAGTGCCTAGGCCCTGAGTTCAAGCCCTAGTACTGGCACACATAGTGTTTGGTACCCATTTAGAAACTTTCTGCAAACCATCTTCTGTGGGCTGTTAGATTTCATTTGTGAACATACAGCATTACACCTCTACCTGATGAAATCATATATTAAAAGTATTTGTTAGAATAAAATCATCAACAATGTCAGACAAAAGCTATTAAAGCAATGGCTCTGAAACAACCTTAAGAACATGAATATATATTGGAGAAGATAACTTGTGCTATCAAGCCTTTTATTAAATAGTGAACACTAGCATGAATGAATCACTCAGGTCAGCAACAAAGTCAAAACAGTTTGGTTGCTGCTGTTCTAATTTAGTTGGGGGCTAAGACCCACAACCCCCGTTTCTTCCTGACTCTTCATCTGTATCTTAAGAATCTCTCTTTCTCTCCTTCCCTTTCTCCTTCCTCTTTCTTCCTCCTTTACCCTGTATCTGTGTACATGTGTATATTTAATTCTGACTCAACATTTCTAAGAGTTAGGGATAAAAAATGTGCAATGTGAATTTGAAAGCAAAATTAAATCATCTCTTTCGAGAAGTAAAATGACCTCATGTCTCCTCTCCTGTGCCTCTAAGGAAAAAGCCACTTGTTACTTTAGCATAATGTGGATTTTACCCCCTGTCAAGTGGAATAACTTTACAATGTACATAGGAAACTAAACAGCTCTAAATTCTTTACAAATTGAAACACAGAACCAGATGGGGATTGTGTTAACATCAGCTCTGGCTACAAGCAGGATCCACAGGGCCTCAAGCACTTGGTCATTTTAGAAGCAGATAGCAGAAATCAAAGGTTTAAAGACTCCAAAAGAGTCTTGGTTTGCTTTCTGTGAGCTGTACTCACTTGTGTGAATATGAAATTGTTTGCTAATTCTCAAGACTAGAAACTAAAACAAAACAAAAAATAAAAACAATACTAAACTGTGCTATACTTGATGAATCTTGGTAACAGAAGTTACATTACATAAATGCACAGAATTAGGCACACACTCACCCTACAAACATCATCTATGCCCAAGCTCACCATTTCACATAGAGAAAGCCACTTAGTTTTAAGAAAATACACAAAGAGGATAAATAAAATAAAGATGGAGCTTCATTACTCAAGTCAGGTGTGTCTGATGTTGAAACTTCTTTGCTGTCTTCCTACCTCTTCTCACTCGATGCTCTGTGTGTGTGTGTGAGTGTGTGTGTGTGTGTAAGGATATATACGTGGGTGAATGCATGTATACATGCAATTTATCTCCTAGATATTTATAAGTACAATTGTAGTATATACATGCACATACATATATGTATATGAACCTCTCAAATGACAAAAGTTTTGTCATTTATAAATTGACAATATGCTAATCACTTAACCAAATAGGAAACACACCATTCCAAATCAAAGGAAAAAGAAATACTCCAAATTAAAGGACACTAATCTTTTGGTCAGGTCAAGAAAACCTCGTGACCAACATGCCTGTTGATTTTTAGGTCTCTTGGCTAATAAATTCAACTGTGATCTTCATTTTTCAACAAAGGAAATGGCTGCACAGACGACCACAGTTTGCCTTCTCTTTGGGAAGCATGCACCAACTTCTTAAAAGGGTCACACATAACACACTCACACTTTAATTTGTAGTCTCTCATGATAGTGAGCTATTATTGCTAGAACATTCCTGAATTTGGGAGATGTACTTTTCCAAGATTTCACACTCTAATTAAAGCCTTGATACATTAAACAAAGCCCCATGTAGTTTCTAAATTCCAGGCTTCAATTATCATCAGGGACAGAAAGCAGAAGAAAACAAGACTATCTTTTTAATTCAGTAAAATATTTTGGTTTATCTGCTCTGGTGGATCTCAGATCTAGAATGCACATTTTATCCTCATGTTTAAAAAAATATAAGAACAGGTTTTTTTTTAAAATGTGACATTATTCCTTATGTGTCTGTGTCCAGGTTATTTCTTTATCATGTACATTACAGGGTGTCCAGGTTATTTCTTTAACATGTACATTATGGGGTGTCAGTGTAAGTAGGTGAATCTTTCCAAGGAGAATATTTATTCCAGTTTAAATTTTGAGTCCTCCTACAAAATAATCTCATTTGTAACTGAAGCAATTCTGACACCTCCTAATGAAAACAATACTTAAATTGTTACTTAAAAAAAAACTCAAGGAAAAGATGAATCCAATTAACCTTATGGCACAAACATCTCCACACAAAGACATTCAAGAGGGCTCTGGTATTTTTTTGTAGATTTTCTGTATTTTCTGTTCCCCTCTCAACTCATAACCAAGTCCCCAAATCACCTGGGATTTCTATGAAAGTTAAAATAATTATACATGGCAAGTATTTTCAACTTCCATAAATTTTCCTCTTTTATCAGAAGTTAATTTGACTAGTAAAGAGATATTCCTTTTAAGAGCATTTTAGTTCTGGAAGTTTAGAACAAAGTACCTTAAAGGTTTTTTTTTTTTTAAATGTTGTTTGCCACAGGGAAGGAAATTATGCATGAACAAGGAAGCACTCTGGGTGGGCTCCAGCCTCTAGAAAGAATAGAGACTGCATTTGAAAACTGTGCTGCCGCATCAGACCTTATGGACTAGCTACGGTTTTGCCATCGCTAAAAGCCAGTGCCTTTACATTAAGAGCAAAAACAATGACACACGCACGAGATTCCTTGGGAATCACCAGTGATGCTGGACTTTTTTTTTTTTTTTTTTAACTTCAGTAAAGTGCAAGTGCCCTGTCGATTTCCCTAAGAAGGTTTCATTACCCCGGAGCCCAGCCTCCAGCGAGGAAAAGTACTAAGTTTTCAAATCCAGCATCATTCTTGGTGTGCACAAAGCCCAGCACACTCAGTATCGTATAGTATAAGCGAACTGCCCTCACTTTGAAAATCAGGAAAGTCGTTACAAATGGCTTTATAAAGCCCGACTTCTGCTGCCATTCCTCTCTATACGTAGACATAAAATTTAAATATGACCAGGAGCTAGAGCATGCTTTTGGAGGTGTCAGCGAAAATGCTAAGAAGTGTCGGTCCCCTCCGGGGCTGGTCCTGCAGGGCCTGGTCCTGCGCACCTGCAGCCCTAGCCTAAGGTTTATGCAGAGAGGCTCTGCCCAAAAGTCAAAGCTTTTACTCTTTTCCAAAGGGAGAGGCAGCTGAGCGACACCAACACTGGGAATTTCAAATGCTACCTCCTCGTCTTTCCTCCTCCTCCTTTTATTAAATCCAACCAGTTACCCCAAGTTTTCCTGCTTAAATTCAATTCGAAAACACTCACGTGGACGTGTGCACCGCACTTTGGGGCCGAGACTGATCCTCGGGCACGAAGAGCAACCTTTGGAGCCGGGGCTCCCTCTGCCCTGTTGGGTTAGCCCAGGTCGTCCCGGACGGCCCCGGACAGCGCTTAAGCTGCGCGGGGACCGAGGGCTGTGGCCGCAGTCACCGCCCTGGGCGCGAGCCGCGCAGGCACTTGTTAGAGTACCCGGCTAACTTGGCCGCGGAGCTCTTCCCAGCTTTCTTTCACAATGACTTCCTGAAGTTGCTCACTCGCATTGTTCCCCATTTCTCTGCCACACTCCCCGCCCCCCCCTCCACCCCCGCCGGCGGCAGTGGCTCCGACCTGGCTTAGCGCTCCAGGTCCTCCGGCCGCCCCGCGCGCACAGCGCCGCCCGCGGGCGGAGCACCTGGCCAGTCCGCGCGCCGGCCGCCCCGCCGCGCCCGCGCGTAGCCGCCGCCACCTGCAGCCGCCCGGAGTGGCGGGTGGCCCCAGCGCGCTCCCCGTCTACACGCGCTCCGAAAACTTTAGGGTGGCGCACGCAGTCTCTTCTCCTTCTCTACTTGTCCCGCTGCCCTCCCGGCCCCGCGCGCGCGCCAGCCTCGGTCGCCTCTTGGGCGGGCTGTTCCGGGACACTGATCGGGGCGCGCCCGCAGGGCAACGCAGGACGCCAAGAGGGGCGCGCGTCGTCCCGCCCCTGCCACCGGTCCCCCGCTCGCCAGGCGCCGGTCCCCACTGCAACTCCGGGACCTGCGGGACCGCGCGCGCACAAACTTTGCGATCGCACCGGGTTGGGGTCCCGTCACCACCCCCTGGCTCTCCCGACCGCTGGGGTGGCGGCGGGCGCGGGGCCGTACCTGCTGGCGCCGCCGTCGGCTGCAGCCCGCTCGCCCGCGCCGGGCCCGCTCGGCGCGCCACCGCCACCCCCGCGCGCAGCGCGCCCGGGCCCTCCCCTCGCCGCCAAGCTTCCTCATTCCAGCGCAGCATCACGCTGAAGTCCGCCTCGGGATGCGGCGGCCAGCGCTCTGCCGGGTGGCCGGCCAGCCCAGCTTGGCGGTGATGCTGCTGCGGGACCGGCGTTTAGCCGGAGGGGCGCGGCGCGGGCGGCACGTGCGGGGCTGCGGGCAGGGGGAGGAGACCGCGCGCCGCCCGGCCCGCACCCCGACGCGTGTGGTGTAGCTGCTGGGTCGCCACACCCGCATGCTCTCCCAGTGGGGGGACTCAAAGGACTGGGGACCCTGGATGGCATTTGCCCTTGTGTCTGGGAGCGTCCGTTCTTGGTCCAACCCATGGCCCTAAAATTGGGATCCCTTGGTTCCCAGGTTCGGGCTCAGGCCCCAAAATACAAAGGCCCACCCGTGGGGGTGGGAAAAGTTGATCCTCCGCAAGTGAGGAGAAGGTGCAATTCATTTTCCCAGACAACCAATGGAATACCTCTGGTGTCTCTTCCCTCCCACCTGCGCAAGGTAGAAGTTAGGATAGCGTCTTCCATCTTGGCCTGTGTGCACCTGCAAGTGTGGAAGAGTGTCTGCCTGGGATATGGCAAGGAGGCGATCCTGCTACTCCACTTCCCGCACTTGGCACCGCAGAACTCTCCCTAGCCTGCACGACACCCAGTGCCTGGGGCTGAAGCGAGACTGCTTGCCTCTGACAGTGCACCCTCTGGCACTCTACAAGGAGCCCCTCATTCTGATTAGCTGGGCTCCACCCGACGGCGCTTGCAGTCAGTGAACAGAGGAGGAATGTTGGGTTCCACACCAGTCTCTGGGTCCCGGCCCAGTTTGAGAGGAGAGGATTAGAATGATGTGGCCTTTGCTCTGCCTGGCTTGGAAGCCTGCACATGCACTCAATAAGGCAGGCAGGCAGGCAGTGCCATGGAAATTGGGAGGAAGAAGATTCTGTGGCCTCCAAGGAGTAGGATGCTCAAGAGGAGAGCGGGCACAGTTCTGCCAGGAGGAGAGAATAACTGGGCAACGGGGACAGACAGATAATGTCACTTCAAACCACTGAGTGTGGCTGGGGAACAGTCAGCAGGATGGCTGTGATTGAGTCGAAGAGGGTGCTATGGCAGGGCCTATTCCCCTCCAGTGATCTGCTCATTCATTGTCCTTGGAAGAAGAAGACCGGTTCCCACCGTGATTGTTATACAACATCTGGATAGATTCTTCCTGGGTCACTTAGATAACACTACTCAGTTTATCTCGCCAATTTTACACTGGGTTGAGCCTGAGCCATTTAACTCCCTGCCAGACCCCAGGGGGGAGAAGACTAGTAAAGGATCCGTTGGTCCTGTTCCTGACCCTTCACTTGTTTTTGTGACTTTGGGCAAGTTCTCCAACCTCCTGCCTTCTAGCTAAGTCATCTACTCATCTAAAAAATAAACATGTTACTAATTCCAGAGGGGTCTCTAGTTCTTGGATGTATGTCTGTTTCTGTCTCTGTCTGTCTGTCTCTGTCTGTCTCTGTCTCTGTCTCTCTCTTTCTCCCTCCCTCCCTCCCTGTCCAGTATGGGTACTTAGAATCCCATACTTACTCTCAGTTGGCTTCCTGGCACAGTACCACTTGAGCCACACCTCCAATTTAGCATTTTGCTAGTTAATTGGAGATAAAATCTCACAGATTTGTTGGCCCAGGCTAGCTTCAAACTAAGATCTTTCAGGTCTTATTTTCCTGAGTAGCTAGAATATTAGGCATAGACATAGGCGGCTCATGTTTATAGTCTTAACTATTCAGGAGACTGAGATCTTAGAATTATGGTTCAGAGCCAGTCTGGGCATAAATGTCTGAGAGACTCTTATCTTTAGTTAATCATCAAAAAGTTAGAGATAGAGGTGTGGCTCAAATGGTAGAGTGCCAGCCTGAACAAAAAAGTAAAGAGATAGTGCACAGGCCTTGAGTTCAAGCCTCTGAACCAGCACACATGAAAAACAATTGTAGGCTGTAGTCTTCCAGAATGAACTCAGATATGATCATCCCAAAATGATACGTTGTAACTGAGGCTATAAACTCAAATAATCTGGACTTTGTTGTACTATGCCTTTTCCATCTTGCAATTCGTTTTTACCATCTACAAATGAGTGGGAATAAGCTTCCTGGTGGGATTATTTGTGCTATATAGATCATAGATGGAAGATTTTGCCACATGCCTGGCTCTCAGAAAGGAAGACTGTAGGTCATAAATATTACTTGTCATTCACTCTGCTTAGTACCAATGTGTCACTGGGAAGAGTCCCAGACTGTCAGGCCCTGGGTTCCATTCCTGACCCCCATCCTCACACAGTTAGAGCTCACATGACTCTAATTGCAATCTGGAAACTGAAAACGGACACCCGGTGACCAGTAGTCACTTAAACATTGAGCATTTAAACCAACAATAACATTACATTGATGTGGGAGGGGGAAACGGGAAAACTGAAACTATGTGATACCTTATATTTTTTATGTCTGCAATCATTTTACTGTGCTTTGCTGTGTTTCCTAAAGTTAGAGTGTTATTGTTTAATTTATTCAGGAATAATTGCTGAACTACCAATTCTTCTTTAGGAGAGTGTAATGTGATAAGAATAAAGAACAGCCAAGGAAGTAATCAGAGGCTCCAGATTCCAAGCTCAGTACTGGAGTCAGTTAGGTACCTTTGTTCCTGCAAAGACTGGGAGAGTTTTTGTTTTTTAAGTGAGTTTTCTGAAGTAAAAGGATGACTGAAGTGATATGATATGGCTAACGGTTTTGATCTTACTGTGTTTTCAGCAGGTTACTTAACTCTATGAGCTTTAGTGTCTCATACACTGAGAGTCCATTTGTGTGTGTGTGTGTGTGTGTGTGTGTGTGTGTGTGTGTGTGTGTGTGTGTGTAGATACTGGGGCTTGAATTCAGGGCCTTATGCTTTTGCTTAGCCTTTTTCCTCTCAAGGCTGGTTCTCTACAACTTGAACCACATCTCTACTTCTGGCTTTTTTTTTTCTCGCTAATTGGAGATTGTAGATGAGTCACTTAGATTTGTCTACTTAGGCTGGCTTTGAGCCAATCCTCAGATCTCAACTTCCTGAGTACCTAGGGTTTACAGGCATAACTCACCAGCACCCACCTAGAGCATATCTCCTGTACAGTGAATAGAGTTAGGTGAAATTCAGTGAAATAATGTCTGCAAGAAGTTGTACTTTTCTTCAGTTTTTAAAAAGTCCGTTCAATATTGGCATAATGTGCACTCATTTTTCCTCCAGAGTTTGGTAAACAGCGAGAATAACAGGAAAGTTTTTTTTTGGTGTGTTGTTAAAAAAGAAACTAAATTATTTTTCCATGGAGTTAGCCTGTAAGAACATACATAGTTCCATCAGAAAAGGAACATGAGTAAGAGAAGGAAAACCAGGATGTGGATGAAACTATTGTGACAAAGACTGCTCTTTCCATTTCTTTCCCCCTGTTTTCATGGTCTCCAGCTTCTGCTTCTGCCTGTTTGAAAACTCTCAGTAGCTCATTTGGGATGAGGTTCTTGGTCCTTGGTCCATTTTCTTGGCTTCTCTCCTTATTCTGGTCACTTCTAAGCACTGAGCTCCACCTATCAACAAAATGGTGGGATATGAAGATTCACAGCAGAGAATAGGAAGCACCTGGAGCCCTAAAGGACAGCCCTTTGGGTTCTGGCTTTGTGACATTGGAAAGAATACCCAGAAATCTGAGGGCACTGTTGACCACATCTTAGACACGAATCATGGACGGATCCCAGGCTTTGAATCTAATATGTGCCACAGTTGAGAACCCAGTTCTTTCTACTCTCAGTAATTCTTTCAGTTTATTCTCTTTGGTGTCTGTAAGACAAAAATGCAGTTAGCCTCAAAAACAGTGAGGTTTTATCATTTGGTTAGAAGAGATTGGAAGCCAAACGAGTCAGGTACAAGGATTTGGAGAAAAGAGACTTACAAATAAGTAGCTTTCTGCTGAAAACTTTCTAAAACCATATTTTGGTGAATACAACAAATGTGGATATCCCTCTGAACTGTATAGATCACAATGAAGAAAGAAAGGGACTTGTCTCCCTTCCCCTCACTTCTCCATACCACCCCACCAGCTAATTCTACTGGACAGGCATATATTCCTTTATCCAAAAGGCATTTCTTTAATTAACCAATCGTTTAATTTATGGTGGTCTTTGAGATACAGGGAATCATAATGAAGTATGAGATGTGGTTTTGTCTCTCAAGAGGCTCACAAGCTAGCAAAGTAGATAGACAATTAAATACTTGCTTTTCATGCAAATGTGGCCTGATAAATCCCATTGCAATTCATTTGGAACACAAAGGGTCACATTCCTG